ATTATTATTATTATTATTATTATTATTATTATTATTATTATTATTATGTTCCCGGGGGAAAAAGTGTCCTGTTTGCATGTTGTGACTTCGTAAACAATTGACCACAGATTCTACTTTTCTTAATACCTGCTTAAATTTTTTTCTTATTGGGGGGCTGAATTCTCTATTTTTTAAGGGATAAAGCCAGATAAACCCTAAAAAATAGCATATTTTTTTTTTCTTGCCCTTTCTGCTCCTGCTGCAAAAATCTTTTGCAAAACAGAAAGGTGTTAGCAGAAGGGGAAGGGGAGGACTTTTTATTATGGAAATAAAAAGCAAGGGTAAATTTATTTCTAAGGAATAAATACAATTATTTCCAAGGAGTAAATGCTGGGATTTCTCTTTCCCCCCCTCCACTTCCTGGCCGTTTTCTCCCTACTGATCCCATCATCATCAACCAGAGGCAATCGAAGCAACTCAAACCTTAAATTTGCTTTTAATTTAGGTAAGTCAATTCACTCTCGCTTTTTGTTTACTTTTCCTTTTGATTTAGAGTCACTGAGGTGAGATGGCCGTCAGAGATATTTATTAAATAACATTAACGGAACCGGGTAAACGCAAAGCGATGGCAAAGTAGAAGGGACTTGTCTAAAGACAAGACGCGAAGTAGAAGCCGCCTTTTAATCGTGATCAGTTAATGAATTCCGGTGAGGGACGTCACAGGCTGAGGCTATTTTCCTTGTTGCGTTTTTTGCCGTTAAAACTTTGGGTTCTGTCTCACCTCGCTGGACAATGGCCTTGCTTAGCAATGGAAATTCTGCTCCCAACTGTGGTCGTAAGTCGAGGAGTATCTGTAGCACTATCTACATTTTGGTGCAGATATAGGTTGCATGTATAATTAAGGTCAGGCTGCTTTATAAGAATGTAAGGTATGAGATGCTCAGGTCGCTGCTGGACAGCAGATTCGTACAGGAGCTTAACTCACCTGAAGAATCTACTGTTTTATAGGATACGGCTTGATCACAGCTCTGCTCAGTCCCCCGTCTGATATAAATGTGAATTTATAAATAAAATTCACGCAGGCTGGCAGGGCTCGTGAGAGGCCTGCTTTTTAAAATATCAGGGTAGGGGGATATTCAAACCTGCCACTACTCAACCGATCTCTTAGGTTAGGGGAGTTTTGGGAAATGTTTGGAAACATTTCAGGAGGGGGAGGAAAGAGGAGGAAGAAGGGGGAAGAGAAGAAAAGAAAGGAGGAAGGGAGAAGGAAGAGGAAGGGGAGAAGGGGAAGAGGAGGAGGAAGAATGAGAGGAAGAGAAGGAAGAAAGAAGAGGAAGGAGGAGGAAGAAAAGAATAAAGAGAAAGAGGAGGAAGAGAAAGGAGGAGGAAAAGGAAGATAAGAAGAAAGAGAGGAAGGAAGAGGGGAAGGAAGAGGAGGAGGAAGGAGAGGGAAAAGGAAGGGGAATGGGAGAAAGAGAAGAAGAAGACAGAGGGGAAGAAGGAGAGGAAGAGAAGGAGGGGGAGGGGAAAGAAAGAATAGGAAATGAAGAAGTAGACGGAGGAGAGGAGGAGGAAGGGGAAGGGGAAAAGGAAGGAAAATGGGAGAAAGAGAGGAAGAAGAAGACTGAGGGGAAGAAGAAGAGGAAGAGGAGGAAGAGGAAGAAGAGGAAGAAGAGGAAGAGAAAGAAGAAGAAGAGGAAGAAGAGGAAGAAGAAAAGGAGGAGGAGGAAGAAGAAGAGGAAGAAGGAGAGGAAGAGGGGGAGGAGGAAGAGGAAGAAGAAGAGGAAGAGGAGGAGGAGGAAGAGGAGGAAAAGGAAGAAGAGGAGGAAGAAGAAGAGGAGAAAGAGAGGAAGAAGACGACTGAGGGGAAGAAGAAGAGGAAGAGGAGGAAGAGGAGGAAGAAGGAGAGGAAGAGGAAGAAGAGGAGGAAGAAGGAGAGGAAGAGGGGGAGGAGGAAGAGGAGGAGGGAGGAAGAGGAAGAAGAGGAGGAGGAGGAAGAGGAAGAAAAGGAGGAAGAACATCCTCCTCCTCATCCTCCGAATTCCGCGAGAAAAGGAAGCCACCTCCGCAGGGGGGGCGTAAGGTGCGAAGAACAATCGGGCTTGTGGA